TTCAGTGTTTAAGGATCTATATTCTTTGCCCTCATATCATAAAGACTAGGTAGGCATAGCAGAAATAAGATCTATATTTCACAGTAGCAGTATTTTTTTTTCTGTTTAATTGTTTCCCCAGGGATTCAATGCTTTTTCCTTTCTCCCGGTGTCTCTAAATCAACGTTTGATTCATTTCATGTTGGATACAGTCTAGTTCAGGTTGTGATCTCTGATTTAGGTGACATTCTGTGGTCTAGATGAATCATGAAGCCAGATTAAAGAACTACAGACAGATCCCTCTACCCTGAAAATCAGAATCACGGAATGATCTGCATAGGAAGAGACCTTAAAGATCATATCATTTCAAACCCCTGCAATGGACAGGAACACTTTCCACTAGACCAGGTTTCTCAAAGCCCCATCAAACCTGGCCTTGAATGTTTTCAGTGATGGGGCATCCATATCTTCTCTGATTAACTACTCTACTGCCTTACTACCCTCACAGTAAAGAATTTCTTCCTTATATCTAATCAAAATTTCTCCTCTTTTCATTTTGCAGCCATTGCCTCTTGTCCTGTCACTACATGCCCCTGTAAAGAGTCCCTCACCTGTTCTCTTGTAGGCCCCCTTTAGTTACTGGAAGGCTGCTCTAACGTCTTCCCAAAGAAGAAGGGGTTGCTCTTCTCCACGCTGAGCAACCCCAGCTCTCAGCCTGTTTTCATAGGAGAGGTGCTCCAATCCTCTGATCATTTTTGTGGCTCTCCTCTGGACTTACTGCAGTGGGTCCACATCTTTCTTATGCTGGACACCCCAGGTCTGATTGCAGTACTCCAGGTGGGGGTCTTGCAGAGGGAGAGAATCACCTCCCTCGACCTGCTGGCCATACTTCTGTTGATACAGCCCAGGACACAGTTGGCTTTCTGGGCTGCAAGCACACACTGCTGTGTCATGTTGAGCTTCATGTTGTGACCAACGCACCTGAATCCTTCTCCTCAGGGCTGCTCTCAGTCCTTTCTCTGCCCAGCCTGTTTTTGTGCTTGGGATTGCCCCGTCCCAGGTGCAAGATCTTACATATATGTAAATAAAATAAACCAGCAGAGCAGACCTCTGTTTTTTGCCTTTACTGGGTCAAAGTAATACACTGGAGTCATCTGAATGTGAAAATGAAGAAGGAATTAAGACAGACTGGAGGGCCACTGCCAAAGAAACTCCACTGGGATTGTCCAGCAAACATCATGATGGCTGCCAGTCAGTTGGTACAGATGGGGCAGACACCCTGGTGACTTCTCCTTCACACTTTGCAAACACAGGGCACAAATGTTTGTGACCAGCACAGCATGGGGAATCATGAGCTCTGATGCCTCAGTGGGAGCCTGGCTCTTTGTCTTTAGATGCCACAAGGATACATTTGAGCAGACACCAGCCTTTGTGATGAGGTGGTGTGACAGAGGTGGGCACTTTTCTTGCTCTGACTACTGGGGCTGTAACCTCTGGCAGAAGAGGAGAAGGAGAGCTAAGGCCAACAGCAACGTCAACTGCTTCACCAAGGCTCACTAGTGGCATCTGTTGGAGAATTTTTATGGTACCCTAGAAGTGAATTAAACACACCTTTGTGATTAAATATAAATAACAAGTTAATTAATTTAATGCATTGGGCAGAGTCCCACCTCAATATGCAGTTCTACATGGAATCATCAAAGATGTGTCACAAGCAGATTCCTTATATACTTGCACCAGCACCATTCCAAGAGTATTTGCATGGGGCACCTCAGCATGGCTGTGGGTCCACCTCTCAACCAGCTCTGCTGCCCAGAGCTAGTCCCTGAGCTTGGGTCCCCCAGGATGGCTGCAAGACAAAGCTGAGACTATTTCTTACCTACTCACCAAGGGAAACTTCACTCCCTTGGAAGGAGTCTGTTCTGTCTCTGGCATTCCTGCTTCCAGCCAATTTAACCCCTCCTTGCCCTCCATGCCAGATCATTCCTCAGTCACGAATTACCACTGCTGAACAGTTATAATTAGAATTTCCTTTTTATGTCTGTGACTACTGTAAGTCTTTAGACCAAGCCAAAAACTTTGGGGCAGACTGTCATGAGAACTTGAATTGCTGTGGGTGATCAGAAGGCGACTCATCCAAAGGCATGTGTTGGTGTTGGCAGAGTGCCCTTACTTTTCTGGGGAGCTGTCTCCACACTGACTCAGCAAGGCAAATCAGGAGTGGTTTGTCGTAGATCAGGAGTGGTTTTTGGAAGTCTGCCACTGCATTTCTGACCACACCAAACCTGTTTCACTTCTGAGATCAGTCTTGAGCCATATAGCTACTGGAGCACCAATGTTTGTCTGTTTGTTAAGAAAAGCAATAATTTGTCCCCATTCGTAAACGTTCCAGCTGTCTAAATGCTTCTGTCTTTTACCTTTTGTTTTGTCTTAATCTTTCTCACCTCCTGTACTCTGAAACGTCTACTTGTCATCCCTCATTCATCAGTTTTTTCTTCCTACATTACCATGGTTTTTTTGGACATTTCTGTTTTCATTTTTGTCTTTCTACTTGTAGTTTGTCTTTTCAACTGCAAAGCAAAGCTATAAGAGGTATATCTCTGATCTATGCCTATTTAGGTTAAAAAATAATACAAAAACATATAAAAGGAAATGGGTAAAATGCAATATTACAGCAATTCTGGTAATGGAGAATCAATATTACTTGTTAAACATCTGCACAGAGAGATATTGTTTCAAATTAGCTATCTACATTGAGTGGCAATTCAATTATCTCAGGCCAGAAGGCTGATTCACATTTAAAGGCAGTAGGTTGTGCTTTGGACAGCTTGTTTATGTAGTCCCATATTCATCTCTTTTTAATCTAATCTGGACAGTTGAGCAGCCTCACACTTTGAAGTTGGTTTCATATTATGTTTGTTACACTACTATGCCTTATTTTTCCTTTCTTCTGCATAATGAAGACTTTATTCACTGCCACCATTCCCTTTTGCCAAAAAAGAAAAAAAAAAAAGAAAAATGCTTTGGCTGCATAGAAATATGATCATGAAGAGGAATGTATTGCAGAAAAGAATTGAAGCGATGACTGGCGGACTTCTGCTGCAATATAGAAAGGTACTCACTCTTCAATTCTTCACTTCTATCATCCAATAAATATTGTATTATACAAAGTAAAACATAGAGATAGGAAAAAATAATATTTCAGTAAATCTAGGAGTAGAAGGATGTGTACTTTCCCTTGGAAGAGTAAAATGTAGCTCAGTCGCATAGATGTGTGCCCCACACTTCATCTGATTCTTTGCATTTTGCACAGTCCAGTGAACCTCAGATCTACATTAAAAGACATATTTATATATAACTGTTCTTGGCAAAATTTCCCATACCTAGACAATAGGCTAGCAGCAATCCACCAGGGGTGCTCTTGGAGAATGATCCCTGTGTTCATGTATAGATCTAAGAGAAGAGGGAAAGGATTCTGAAACCACAGAAAAACTCTATGAGGAAAGCAGTAGTGATAACCCCCAGTATTCATTTTCAGGCTACAGATCCTTTCCAGCTAGCTCCATTGTTAATCCAACTTCTCCATTTCCCCTAAGGATCTGGAGACTTCTCCAGTCCCCAAGTGGCCAC